CAATTTGAGCATGCTACCATATAAAAGTACATTAAGCAAAGGATATCATATTTACAATTAAAATATGAGTAAATTTTATATACACTATCACGATTGGATGGATGACACATAAGTAAATTTTGGATTTCAAATTCAAATTTTATACATGTGACATATATCTAATGATGATAGTGTATACACTAACAGTGTGTATAAAATTAATCTTTAAAATATACGGCACATGTGAATTTTAAGTTTATATCCAATGCATAGCCATAATTCACAATTCATACATTAAGTTAAGATTACCTAGTTTCAATTAACCTTGGATACTAGTTCTAATTGTTCATCCCGTTAGGGAGGTCACATCATGAAATTTCTGACTATTCATCCTATCAGGTAAGTCACATCATGCAAATCCTGACTATTCATCCCATTAGGTAAGTGGTAGGTCATATCATGCAATTCATGACTATTCATCCCTTTAAGGAGGTCATATCATGCAATTCCTCACTATTTATCTCTTAGGTAGATCGCATCATACAAGTTCAAATAACAACGCTTCAAATCACATAGCAAATGGAAACATGATCATATTGATCCTAAAATTTATATAATGAAAATAAAGTAATTAATGTTGTTGAAATTCATAAAATACATTACAAAACATAAGGACTACACAAACTACTTACCTTCACCAAATGAACTAGCATCCAGCTCAACTCCAAACTGTCCCAATAAAATTTACTTCCCCACCTTGATATGCAAAAGAGCTTAATTTAAACTATAAAAACTTTGAACCATGCTAATTTATCATAAAACAGACTGTAAACAATACCCTTAACCAATAACCCATAGTAAAGATCATCTCCTCACTTAAGCAGAACACATATGTCAAGTCTAAAGATTCACCAACTTTGATAGATATAAAACTAGAGTGAAATCTTTATATTAAGTCTAGTTTCAAATGCAATAAATGGCGCTCAATTTTGAGTTTTTGAACAAAAATATGGTCGAAACACTAAGCTGATGCAAAGCAAAAAAAAAGTTTCTAGTTTTCTCTTCTAAGCTCCATTCCCACCTCAAACCATCTCCGAACTCCTAGCCATCAAAATGCCACAATCTCACTTCCCACAACCATATTATAGCATAAACAAACTTAGAAACAAAGTATTAAAGCTAAATCATGCAACTTCTATTAAGATTTCCTATCTCTTAAAACACCCAAAAACCCTCAAATTTTACTTCTCACTAAATTGACCCAACTTTTATGGCATCACCAAATTTAGACAAGATACTAAACTAAAAATCATAATATTCCTACAAAAATCATTATTCTTTAAGAATACCCAAAATCCATCTTAACTATCTATTAAATCTAACCAAGAAATTAATAATAAAAAAATCACTTACCTTGCAAAAGAGGCTAACGGTGAAGTCTCAATCTTTCTACTAGTTTTGGATCTTGGTTGGGTGTATATCACTTTGAGTGTAAGAAGGAAATAGAGAGATTTAGGGACGGAAGAGAAGAAAAAGGAAAGGAATTGGTAAAATTTGGAATAGTGGTTTTCCACTAACCACTCATATATTTTTGAATCTAAGCTTTCTCGTTTGCTCAAATAATCTTCACTTTCTTAAGTTTCATAATTTAAATCCCCAAAGTTATGTATTCTCCTCTAAGACCCCCAATGGAAGACTTGGATATCACAAAAATTGTTTCAACTGAAAAATTTGTATCCATGCGTTTGAAAATGCAAGTGTGGATAATAAAAAAATATTTTTTTTGCCAAATTCAAACTTGTGATCACAAAGTAGCACTTTTTCTTTTTCCTTTCTTCTTCCTTCTCTATACTAATTTTTGTTTCCCAGAATCACTATTACTACCACAACTGCTAGTTCCACCACCTTAAATTTTCCATTTTAGCTTTGAAACACATATCTCTTACCATCCAAATGTCACCCAAGGATCTTACAGGAGAAAGAAAATGGCCAAAGGAGATGGCGAACACTATCACCACTGCACACGGAGGAGAAGGAGAACACTCCTGGCTCCATAGACACATCCATTGATCATTCTTTAGTAGATGCAGCAACTAGCAATCACCATTTCCACCACTTGTCATCAAATCAAGTTACCAGGCTTCATATGGAGATGGCTGGGGAATGAAAATTTGCGTATGAGAACATAGAGATATCTAGGTTTAATGATTTTTATATTATTTTCAACATCAAGTTGTTTGTTTTTATTTTCAAGGACACCAAGATATGCTGTCTTTGGATATGTTTTTGCCCTTTGTCTTAGTTTTTGATTAGATGTGTGATAATGGCCACTAGCGTATGCATCTACTTTGAATTCTTCGGCGTCAGTAAACCTACCGTGATGCTGACAGTAGCTTATTGCTGAATACGCTGGCATAACGAAAGGTTGAGAATTGGGGGCAAGACTAGAACGCCTAGTTTGGGAGATGAGATTTGAACAGAAAAGGAAAGAATAAAAGAGAAAGGCTGCATCTCCCATGTTTGAGAGTTTTAAGTAAAAAAGAAAGGAAAAGAAACCAATGGAATTAGAAGGAAGAAGAAATAGCTTTATAGTTTAAAAAAAACTTCCGGCCCAAATCGGGTAGAAAGCAAAGGAAAGCGCGGAAAGGCAGCAAAAATTTTTTAAATTGCCCATTCTACTCCTAAAAAGCTATTGAATGAAATATTTATTTACCTATGTGTCCAAAATCACCTCCTTTCTTTCATAAACTCCCAAACAACATTAAAATCTCTTCTCTTCTTTTCTTATCATTTCTTTTCTCTCATAACTTAACCTTTCTCTTCTTTTCTTTTCTATCCTCAACTCACAAACTAGCTATAAAAGATGTATGCTTTAGTGGCCACCTTTAGATTTCATAAGAAAAAAATAAACTTGAGGGGCAAACTCCAATTTGAACAAGGTTATAACTGAAAATTCTTAATTCTTTGGTTGCATTTGGATAGAGTGATTTGACCAAAGATTCAAAATCATTTCAAATCTCTTTACTTGTTTAAAATACTTAGAAGGCATTTTAGTTTATAAATTATCAATTATTCTTGTATCTAAAACATATTTTGATAATTGATGAATTACAAACCTAAATACATCTTAAGTATTTCAAACTATTAGAGCGATTTGGGTGAATTTCAAATTCTTTATCAAATTTCTCAATTCAAACAAAAGGAGTACAAAGGAATTTTCAAAATCTTAGGGGTGGCTGCCCCCTGTGGCCCCCTTTATATCCACTGGTGGCCATATATAGGTGGAGCAAGAGATCATCCTTCGTTGCATATGCTACTGCTCATTGATTGTTTTTGACCAAATCGGACACCAAAATCTTAATTTAGGCTGAATATAGAGTTTTAACGTACCAAAATCTAAAATTTTGTTAAATTCTACACCGGCAATGACAGTTAGAGGGAGCGTGGCTCCAATGCCACCACTTTTACCAAAATCGTTTGGATCAAAAGATAACTTATATAAAATTTACTTTGACCAATAAATTTTTTATTAATTCCACAAAATATACCAACAAAAATTCTTAAATGTAAAAACAGATAAATAAAAGAAAACGAGGAGAGAAAAAGTAGACAAAGGTATGATTGACATTTCAGTTTCGTCAATTAATTTAAATAATTTCCATCCATGCTCCACATATGTCCACAGCATACGCGGGTTCATTGACGGAGTTTTGAATCATAGGGTAGATTCCTAACTTTTGATAAAATCAAAAGGGCATTTTGTAATTGTGAATCTTGTCCAAGTATATGTTTAGCACATTGGACGAGATAGCCGGTCCAAACTTCATATTCTTAAAAAACTAGTTCTTAACCTGTTATTGAATAGGGACCACACATAATCTGTTAAAAGAATTAGAAAGGAAAATTATAAGTTTGATTGATAAAAAATTTAATAATGCATAATTGATACGAATATATATATAAGGCATAAATTATTAAATTGATTGACAACATATAAGGAATTGGGAAAAAGAAGGAAATTAATTGTTATAAAAAAAAACACAAAAAGAATTAAAAAGTCAAAAAAATATTAAAAAAGTTCACGTGACGAAAAGATATATCATTCACTTGGATATGTCTAATTCATCAACGTACTCTTTATCAACGTGCTATGTCCAATTCAGAGCATGGATATGTAGGGGTGGCAATTTTCGACACGACCTGAAAACACGACACGAACCTAACACGAAATTAATGGGTTTGGGTTGAGGTTTCGGGAATTCGGGTCAGAATCGGGTTGGACCCGATGAACCCGAAAAGAAAACAGGTCGATTTCGGGTCAACCCGTGGTGACCTGATATGACCCGATATGACCCGTTTACGAATTAAAAATAATTTAATAAATATAAAAATAATTTTATCTAACTAAACTAAGTTATTCTTTTTTTCAAAGGCATTAATTACTTAATCCTAAATGAATTTATTTAATTTGTGTGAAGTTGAAATTATTATATTTGGACAAATAATATATTATATTATTTTTTACTTTTATATTGTTTTAATTTATTTTATATTTTGTTTGGGATAAAACACTTTTACGGTGTTTAATTTATTTTAGAATTGGTTTGGAATTATTTATTTAAATTTTTATTACTTGATTATGTAATTAGTTTTGTGAGAAATTGATTTTATTAGAAATTACAGTGATAAATTAATAAATTAAAATTAAGTTTCGGGTCATTTCGGGTCGACCCGCCAACCCGTCAACCTGAAATTTTCGGGTTCGGGTCAGCATACCTGACCCGTCACGAGTTTGGCGGGTCGGGTTCGGGTCAACAGATTTTCTGACGGGTTGACCCGAACCCGACCCGCCAACCTGATTTGGACCCGAATTGCCACCCCTATATGTCTAATTCATTAACGTACTATGAAAAATATGATTAAAAACAATCCAAAAAATAAAAGGGAATTAAGCGAACATTCCTTTTTTTTTTTTTTGAGGGAAAAGGAATTCCTTGCCAACAATACCCAGAATCTTCAGATTTCCTTCCTCGACTCCACTTTCTATTTTTCTTACACTTTCGGCCCCTTTCTTCTTTTTCACTTTCGTGTCTCCCTCTCTTCCCTCCCACGCTTTCCCGGTCTTTGATAAAACCCGGTGCCCCATCGCAAAACCCTTAGCCCCTTCCCTCCAACCCCATAATAAACGGCCGCAGCAGAATTTTCAGGCGGGCCAACTTCGGTAAAATCGGTATGTTTCGCAATTTACAGCTTGCAAGAAAATAAGTTGAATAATATCCTTTTGGGATATAAAGTCTTTTGTTTGTGTTAGAATTTTCTTGTTTCTCGGCTATGAAAAGTTACTAGCATTGCTTTCATTCGATTATTTTTTTTGAGCAAATTAACTATTTTGCACGATTATATGAAGTATAATTTAGGATGTTTAATACTACATTAATAAGGTCTGTGTGTTCGATTTGTATTCTTGTAAAGAAATTTAGTCTATTGCAAATTTGGAACTCTACTAGAAAGTTTGAGCCATTGTTAATTGTTGGGCCTGCCAAGAACAAGAAATAACGAAAGAATTCCTGTATCATCAGACTGATTTTGGAAGTTAGAAGCACACAATTGAATTCTAATTGCTGTTATTTGAATTGTTATTCTTTGTCTGGTTTAGCTATTTTAGAAAGCAATCACTAGTTGAGAAGTGTCTGTAACTTTGAATTTCTTTTTTTTTAAAAAAATAAAAAGGAGGGAAAATATGACTCTGTTTCTACATTATCTATTTGTGAGGGGCTTGTGAGATGTTTCACCTAGAAAAAGCTGAATTGAAATAGTTCTTTAGCTCGCTTTCAAGAAGGGTATCCTATGTCAGTGGAATTTTCCATACAGTTATCAGGATAAGAATGTAATTGATCTGCAATTCCTAAATTTGTGTTGCTGATCAACATTGTTTATTTTAGTGCTTTAGCTGGTAATTTTACAGTATAGTTCCTAGAAAAGGTCGAATTAATTTTTTCACCAGAACAAGGCTATTTCTGGTACCAGCACAGAGTACCTGAATGATAACATTCATGTTAATTTTTGGTTAATCGGTATTGTTCACAATTAATTGTTTTCAGTGCACAACTTTATAATGATGCTAAAACAGGCAGTTAATCAGGTCTAGCTGTTGAACCACAACAAGCACGAAAATGAAAAGGCTGCTGAAATTGACATGGCTGCGGTTGCGTAATCTAGTAAAGGCAAGAGATATCTGTTTTATTTTTTTTTGTTACAAACTTATTTGAACTAAATATGGTGGCAGAAACAGGGCCATTCATGACAATAACTTTTTGGCCCTGACATTGCTAATGTTATGTACCATTCTCACATAATATACCACTGTACAGATACCTCAGCCAGTTCGAATATCATTACGGGATAAAGCAATAGCAGTCGCAGGGAGAGTTTCTGTAGTCAAAGTTCGAGACTCTATGCAGGTTTGTTGTCCTGTATGCACAGAAGCGATTTCCTCTCCACTTGACTCTGACGTGAAAATGATACTAGCAGTGCACTTGAGTTTATGGCATGCTGAGGATGTTAACTTGCAATGGGACATTATGCAGAAGAAGAAAGATTCAGTTCTTCATTTGCCTTCCTTAGTTGTTGGAGTAGGAATAGCTGCTGGCGTTGGAGTACTGTTGACTTTTCTGGCAAAAAATCGGGCTCAAGCTTTGGTAGGGAATACAGTGAGACAACCGAGATTCAAGGAAAGGTAGTGGTGCATGACCTATTGGCTTTGTACCAGTAGTGATATACCCTTTTACCTACTCGCCATATGGCAGGATCAATACCTCTTCCTTTATTTGGCTAAAATTGCCAAGTTTGTAGAGTTCACCATTTTTTGTCAAAAAGGAAACTTGGATTATCGTAAATTTTGAGGGGCCTGTGTATGAAAAGGTTTAGAAGTGAGGACTTAACATGTGTTTGTAAACTTTCTAGCGGTGAATTATGTATCTCTTTTTGGGTATACTAGCTCCATAATTTTGACAGAGTGAAGTTATTCCTTTTTTCTAATCAAAATTGCTTTTATCCTCAACTAGAATTGATTGTTGCTTTTCTTGGATTTGATACAATGTTCGAATCATGATATTTAGCTCTAAAGTTTGATGTATGTCAAGATAGCAATGCAATTATCTCAGTAAGCAGTCAATTACTGGAGGAGTTGTCCTTTTTCTTTTTGCTGGGCTTGTCCTTTGGTATTATTCTCAAATTTGGTCTGTTTCTAATATATGAAAACTATTTGTCATCCATCTTTTATGCTATCTGAATTTGTTAATATTGGCATAAATGTGATCAAGTTACTGCATCTACTGGGTTCACTGCCATTAAAATAGGTTCTTTTTCTGTTCGATGAGTAAGATGCACATCATATTTTCAAGGTTCAAATAGTAGGAATAGTGGGGCAATGCATCCGTTTTATAGGCTTGCATGACACATCTTGTTCAGTCATGGCTTTGAATGTCCATGGACACTTTCTTAATTGTTTTAAATTTGTCTGCCCAATTTTTCATTTTCTTTTGAAATCATTCATCATCACAATACTGATCGTTGCCTTCCACAGCATTGTTTAGGCCATTTGGCATAACGCTTCCGGTTTGAGAAAAAATATCCTTTACACCCACAAATGAGGAGCTGCTAAAGTACACAGATGTACATTTGCCATTTGCCACCATACCTACCTTGTTTCAAGCTTCTGACATTGGCACCTAAGGTGCCCCCTCCGGATCAGGTCAAGACTTTTATTGCGGTTGGGAGTTCATCAGCAGTGGTTGGTTTGTGACCCAAGTTGGGCAGAAATTCCATTGATTTTACAAAAGCCTAAGAGTCTGAACCTATGTGGCCAAGTTGTTTTAATTTAGTCGTGGGATGAAAGATGAACAACTTCTTGTAAGGGTTGGGAGTTTGTCCAGCATTATATTTGCTTGGTGGATCATACTCTTTTTTGTTTACCGCACTTCTTGGATCATACTTATGAGATTGTCAATTGATAGACCAAGATATGAAGGGTAAATTTCAATTGATAGACCAAGATATGAAGGGTAAGTTATATAAATTTTGTGTGTGTTGATCCCTATGACCATGTAACAATCTTTTGTGCAGGTGAAGATTTCTGATTCTTTTTGACAAAAGTAATTTTTAAACTGTTTAATGACTCTAAAGCTGTAAAACTAATTGTCACATCATGGATTTTTGGAAACATCTAAATATCTAGTCGTAACCCTTTTTTTTCTTTCTTTTGAAAAGAAAGTAACCAACAAGCATTATTGTAATAGTTTTTGGGCTGTTTTTAGAAAAACTTTACTGAAATATTTATTTGGGGCGTTTCTAGAAAAACATTACTGGAATAGCTATTAAATAAATGAGTCAAAGGCGTTTTTAATTGCAGTTTTGGTTCAAAAATGTTTGAAACATGAGCGCTGCTAGTCACTAAAGTTTGGAATAAAGTAAATGTAGCCCAAATGTTTCAATCTCTTAGCAAATTTAGTACTATTAATTGATTTTTACCAATTGTTATCAGAATCTAGTCACATACTATTACGTATTGATAATTAATTTTTTTAAAAGAATTAAAAAGCTCGAAACAAATATTGTTGGCCATAATTTGTGGTAAAAGAGGGTTAATTACTCGCATGTCGATCATGTGAGTGATTAGTCTTTATTCCAGAAATACAAAAATTCAGTTGACAAAAAAAGTTTTGGTTAAAGATTAATTAGTAATGGGACCTGAGTAATTAATTATCTTTTATTATAGATTATGGCTAGCAATTTTTTATTGATTATTAATTTTTTTTAAAAAAATTAGTTTCTAGTACATGACTAGATTCCTGCATTGATTGGTAAAATTAGTCATTAGAATTAAATGTACATAAAAACTGAAATATTTGGGATTACATTTTATCCAACTATTAGAGATTAAAAGCGCTTATACTTCCAAACATTTTGGAACTAACTGTGTGCCGCTGCGCTTGTCGGGGAAGATAAAGAAATAGAATTAAAATTATCAATGTGTGGGCCATTTATACTGAGGCTCAACGTATTCATCATTTCTTGATCAGATGGATCGATCAATTGTTAACTGGGCCTTGCACTAGGCCCAATAAATAATATTCGAATATATGGTTAAAATGTTCTCAATTTCTTGATCTAATGGGCCATTGAAAATATCACTGGGCCTGGCACTAGGCCCAATAAATAATATCCGAATATATGAATAAAATGTTTGACTCAATAGGTCAACTAGGGGACAACTGGGCCAATTAATTTCTCGTGGGCCCTGCACCAGGCCCAGGCCAATTGAATCGAAAATGTTATCAACTTATTGATCCACTGGGCCATTTAAAATGTCATTGGGTCTCGCACCAGGCCCAATAAAAAAATAACACTAGGCCCAACCATAGTGATCATCAATGAAGAAAATATATAACTCTCAGAAGCGTATTCATCAATCTTCATTCTAATTGCTATTTAAATGCACTCCATCTCATCCAGTTGATTCAGCCCCATTTAGCAGAATGCGGCATTCTCCTTCGTCGAATAGCACCTATTCGCCCCCAGATATCAAGATCAGGCACCGCCTGTCCAAGAAGAAGAGGCGAACAACGAGAATTAAGTTCGCGTGTGGCTGCTGCATCCTGCACAGCAATAGATGCAATAAGGGACACCACGTTCTCAACATTGATGTAGCAAGGAAGTTACTCCTGGGAGTTCCAGAAGGATCCCCTCTACTTAACCATGTTCCAGGCTAGTCGGACCACTTGGTCGGTGTCAATTCGGGCAAACTACAACCTCCGCAAGAGACTCCGTCTTGACAAGATGTGGACATGGCTCCTCTGTTTTCAAACTCGGACCGGACCGGTCGGTCGAACCGGCCGAACCGGGAACCGGCCAGGTAGCCGGTCCGAGTCACATTAAAAAACCGGAAATTTAAAACCCGGTCAAAGCCGGTCAAAAACCGGGTTTGACCGGAAAAAAACCGGTTTTTCATGTTCAACAGTAATTTTTTTTTTTAAATTCAAACTTTTTAATATTATGTTTTGACCCCCTAAATTGTTAAAACTTATTGATATACCTCAAATATTTGATACTTTATAAATATTGTCCTAAAATTTGATGTTATTTTTCAATTAAATTCATAATTTTAATTCTAAACTTGTTAATATTTATTAAATAATATAAATTGCTACTTGATTGTTCTAATTTCTTTGTATTTTCTTGTTAAATATATTTGAAACATCAAATATATATGGATATACCTTTATTAATATCAATATATTATTAGATATTATATATATAATATTTTAATTTTTAAATAATTTTTATTTATGACGTCATCCGGTTCGACTCCTATCGACCCCCGGTCGAACCCATTGACCCCTGACCCCTGACCTCGGCCGAGTCGCTATCCGGTCCGGTTCTGAAAACATAGCATGGCTCCTGATTAGGACTCCCTGGTCCTTGAAGGACGTGGATCCCATTAGGATTAATAATAAGGTTAGGGCTCTCATAACGAGCCAATTATGTAATTACAGCATCATAAGTCCGATTAATCTAGAATTAGCGTGTAGGTCCCTGCCACGTGTCTGGATTAATTGCAGGGAAGCGGATTTCCAATTTGTACGCATCTTGTTTAAGGATGAAATTAATTGAAATATTGTTATTTCCATACTGCGTATTTATCACACGTGTCACTGCTGCATTAAATCCCTACATACGTACGAATACTCCAATCCTACGCCGTATACTACGTTACATTTCTACGTATATTGCTGTGTATGTGGGGTCCACATCCTCGATCGTAGGGGTTCATGAGTCCGAGGGTTCCATTCCTCCTCATCAGTCCACTTCTTCTACCGTAGGGGTTCAATTGCTCTTGGTGGAGTTAGGATCATCCCCAGCATCCTCTGACTCAGACAGGGTTCCCTTTAGCTCCTCAACTGCCCTGAACAGCTGGTCCAATTCGCGGATGAATCGAAGGCTCCCCATGCGAAGGGTGAAGTACATCCCGAGGAGCACTACCTGCTCCATGCCGCAATCCCTCACCACCGCGAAGAATCCTGCCATGTCCCTCATGTTTGCCATTTCTTCTGCTCTTCAAAACGCACTGTATCGAGCAATCTCCTGGAACAAGACGTGTCGAGCAAGGAATGGTCAGAGTCTTCCATCACTCCGCTATTTATCGTCCTCTCTCTCTGTCACGTGTCGCGTATCGCGACCACCAGGACCGGGGACAAGTGTCGGCAATCCCGATGTGGGTGGGATTATTCAAAATTCAAAATTCGACGTGGGCGGGATCATTTGAAATTGAAATTTTGAATTTGAATTTAAATTCAAATTCCAACAGTGCCTCCGGGCACTGTTCTCTACTTCAACCAATAGCACTGTTCATCATTGTGGGGTCGCGCTCTTTCGAGCGGCTAGTGGCCTTCGGCCATGTGGCAAAAGAGTACGGCGGCCCACGTTCCTGTCGGAACGTAGGGTACAAGGGGGCCCGCATTGCGGGCCATACAACCCAGGTCTTGGGTTGTCCTTTCTCTCTCCTCCCCAGATCAGATCCGGACTATCCATCCTTCGGATGGAGGACACGTGGACGGTGGATATATACATATGTATATGTATATGTATACTCATATGCATAAGTATACTCATATATATATGTATATGTATACGTATACTCATATGCATAAGTATATACATATATATATGAGTATACATATACATATATACATATATATAGTATACATATGTATATGTATATGTGTGTGTGTATCCTTGTGTTTTGACATGTGTTCTGATTATTTTATAGATCAAGAGCAATAATTGACGAAATAACCACGAGTGTACTGATTAGATGCGGGCTATAGTTTAATGGTCGTTGAGATTTTTTGCCTCATATACACACACACGTGTGTGTATAAAATATCAAATAGTATAAAGATCCTAATTCTGCGACATACTTTTACCATTCACAAAAACAATGGTAGATATCAAATAATAGCAACAAGATTTCCCAGTTTACAAAATTAAAGGAAGATAAATCTGTTTCGTTTGGGACTGTCCTAAATATTTTTCCTTCTAGAAAAATCCTAGTTGTATCATTACTTCATATCTAGAAAGAAATGGAGTGTCCTAATATAGAGAAAAGCCATCAATTAGGAAACTAAAAGAACCATCAATATTTGCACGCTTGTATAATTTAGGAAACCTCAACCTAATTTCCGCAATTCATGGAAACGTAACCTGAAAGATCGTAGAACCACGTTATCATGGCCAATGCATGGCCCTGCAATATTGCTATTTTTCCTGAAAAATACATTGCAAAAACTTGAACATCTAGAAGAAATTTGAACACCATCTTTCTTTAAAAGGTCATGGATGAAAAACCCCAACATCCTCAATCAAATTCTGAAAACTTTAAACAAATGGATCATATAGGCCATGTATTAATCATATCATATCCTTTACAGGGTCATGCAGCACCTCTAATAAAATTGGCAAACACGATATGCAAATTTGGAGTGAAAGTAACATTTCTTACTACAGAATTTACACTGGCCAAAATGGGTTCTTCCTTGCTTATATCTGAGCAAGATGGAAAGCTGATCACGTTCGCTTCGGTCCCTGATGGATTAGAACCTGATGATGATAGAAATGATCCGGCGAAATTGGCTGCAAGTATTTACAAGGTGATGCCTGGTTACTTGGAAGATTTTGTTATGAAGACTAACGACTCCAAGAATGGTTATGATAAGTTTACTGGTTTTATAGTTGATACACCATTGACATCTATGTTGAAAGTTCCTAAGAAGTTAGGGATCAAGTGTGCCACGTATTGGTGTTCCAGTCCAGGATGTTTGGCTCTTGGACTCAATCTTGAAAAGCTTATTCAAGCTAAAGTCATTGATGCCAATGATGGTAAGCATATCTTAGCGCAAGCATCAGCTACATACGGCTTCTATACAATTTGACACAACATGCACAACAAACTTTATATGTACTTTGCAATTTGCCTTCCTTTTTTCCCCATTTTCTAGGTTTCACGATCAAAACC